CCTTCCTGAAGATAAGGTCCACCCAGCTTGGAAGACAGCACACGAAATTTCAGGTTTTATATCCCACACTCCAAAAGGCAAGAAAGCCTCTTAGATAAAAGGTAATTTAATATATTCTTCATTGGATCTTTAAGTTTGTGAGAGGCAAGTGATGTCTGAAGTAAAGCTGGCACGTGGAGCTTTGGCAAGAGCTGGCTTTATTCATCTCATTTGTTATTTCTTAGATCTCACGACAGCAGCCTGCAAATTCTGGGCCAGGAACAGTCCAAAGCAAAGACATAACAAGTCAGCTTCTTCAATCTCACTAAACTAAAAACTAAAATCTTCAATCTAACTAACTAAAACTCACGAGGATCTAAAGAATTTTTGCTCCTCTCAAGATTGCCTCAGGTCCCATTTGTGCAAGATGTCCACATTCAGACTAAACTATAAAAYCAACGGCATTTAATACTTTTATTTCCTGTGAGAAAATCCCCTGCATAAGAAAGCAAAGCGATGGGCTAGATTTTCCCCTCAGTCATCTGAGCTGTTCTCCAATGACTCCACAGTTGTCAAACCAAAAATTAATCCAGGTTTGCAGCGATGCTGCAGACAAATCTGGTCCATGCYGTTTCTTTCTTGCTGTGTTTACAATAACAGACCAATAAATGAGTATTTATGATAAGATGCCCTCTTTTTAATCTGTTTGCTGGAGTATCATGGGATTTGTTTGCTGATTTGATGACTTCGTTATTTACGGATTTACAGATTGCATATGATTAGGCAGCATATTTGGATTTTTTTTTTTGCTCAGTTTTGATGTAGGCAACCATTTTTCATTTTCAAAGCAAAACCAGAGCATCTTTAGTATTTATATACACACACACACAAGAATATTTCCATTCATAGTCTTCCATAGCTTTGAACTACTTGAGAGAAAAGCTGAAAAAAGGAAGAGATTGGATAATTGAAGAAAGAGGCTATGAATGGAAGTCATTCCTCATTTTCTGCCTGCTGAACTCTGAGGAATTTTATGTTATCTTCTATTCATTTTCTTGGGTTTTGCATGAATAGCTGAAAATGAGCCTCAAATCGTTTACCAGTGATCATGACTTTCCCCTGTTTCTCAGGGCTGATAGTTTACGTGATGAGAGCTGTGCATTCGCATCAAGAAGGCAACTAAACAAAGCTTTGGTTGGCCAATAATCAAGCAAGGGCAGGAATAAAACCCATCTCACTTGATGAGATTTTGAATTTTGTTCTTTCATTCCTGAAGTAGAACAACAAACACAACATGGTCAGAACTTGCCCAGCTAACTCCAACAAAACAGCATCTTCAGAACTGATACTTGCAGATAGCTCTGGAAAGCTTCAAGTCCACAGAAGCTCTGGGGAAGAGCTTGGTCGGACAGAGTTGATTAGCTCAGTGCTCAGCTCAATGAGGGCCTGGCAGGAAGCTAAAAGCCAGGAATTCCTAACACTTCCATATCTCCCTATCCAATGTTGGACACGACCCTCCTACACCCCAGCCAGCACAGGGGCAGGTGCCTAAAAGCTGAGCACTTGTGAACACCCCAGTGCTCCTCACCTTATCAACAAAAAACAAGGAATCTCATCCTCTCCTAATTCCTCAAAGCCCAGGAAGTGATGTTAACCTCTTTTTTTGAGCTAGCTTCTCCTTACGGAGGTCGGATGTGCCCCAGCACCGAAGCAGCAGCYGTATAATCGCGTTAGGACATCGAAGAGCTTGGGCTAATAAACCTAGCGTTTCAAAGAGCTTATTGGTTTGGGCTCCGTGCCACGCGGAGGTTAACAAGGTAAAAACCTGTTTAGCGAAGGAGACATATTTGACCGTCCACAGTCAGGTCAATTATTTAAGATTTAAACATTCCCTCCAGAGGTACTTACCCAGTCAGCGCACGTGGCTTATAGTTTGTTCTGTACCTTTTGACGTTGCCTTAAATTCTACCTCCCAAATGAAATTAGAGTGATGAGAAGCTTTCCTTCTGCCCTGTTGCAGTTGATAATAGCACATGGGGTCAGCAAAAAGTAAACTCACAGGGCAGAGCCCCAGATTAGCTACTGCATTCAGACAGAAAAAGGGCTGGACATGCAGTGCAAAACACAAGTTCCATTTCTTGAAGGCAAAAACACAGTTTTCCTTTATTTTTTCCCATATCCTGAGAATAGGCGTGCATGTACATGTTAGCATGGCATCCTACACCCTGCTTCATTCAAACCAATATACGTTCCAGGTTTTATGAAGTCTTTTGGCTCAAGTGTTACGGCTTGGACGGTGTTTACAGCAATATTCATTGTGTTCGGCATAGCCCTGCCTATCAATCAACCCGGCAATAAAGCCAAAAGGGGAACTGGTGGAAAAGCAGCAAAGCTGCTAAATTTAACAGTTATTCATACAAAACCAGCACAGAGGCAACTGGATCAAGGTACCTGTTTGGCTGTCAAGCTTAAAAAACAGCAACAACAACAACAACAAAATAAAGATACAAGAACATGCCTAATTATTAACTATTATTAACTATTAACAATAGTTAACGGCCATAACCTGCTGCATTCCAGATTGCCTTAAAAATAACTTAGGCTTCAAATTGTTATCTTTTCTTTGCTGTTTTCCTGGGTTAGTATTTCAAGGCGACTGCTGTTATAAATAGATWTATAATGTGTGTGTGTTTACATACACATCTCCAAGCAGGCAGGAAAGGCAGACTAGAATTCCAAGTGTATCATTAGAGCTACATGTTGACACCCACCAAGAACTGAAGGACTGTCACACAAACAGTGACAATGAGAGCAAATAATACAGGTAATGAAGGGAGGAAAAAAAAATTAATGTAGAAAGGTAACCAAGGAGAGATGTTCTTAGCACATTAAGAACTACAACAAAATATCACATCTTGACTTTGTTGCTGCTTGCAGGAAACTAGAAAACGAGCACGGGCTCATTACCGAGCCACTCAACACCAACACCTGAATCACTTTGATTCAAAACAACAACAAAAAACCTCCACTTGTCTAAAGAACAATATAAATGAAAACAATTTCTGCATTATTCTCTATGCAAACTCTTTCACCTTTATTCTTTGGTATCTTTCTGGGAAAGGGTTCATAAATCCATGTCAATCCCCTGGTTTCTGCAATCCAAATACAGAAATATCTTTCGATTCTGCATTTTCAGTCCTCAATTAATGGAAAAATGTCTTCTGTGGTAAGAAATTTCAACACCGGCATCCTTACTCATTTGCCGGATATCCCCAAAAGTGACTGTGCTGAAGGCCTGGTATTCAAACGACATGAAGAATCTCCCATTACTCCATAAATAAGGGAACTTCTGCTTTATGCAGCAATAACACACAGTATGAAATGAACCTGGAAAGCCCCCAAGATAATTAAATGCTAAGCAGCTGGGACTGCTCCGATTTCAGCATCCCTGAAAATAAAGCAAAAAATGCCAAAACCCGAGTATTAAATTGGGAAGACTTCTCTGCAGTCCCAGGAAGGAGGAGGAAAGAGTGGCCGGTAAAACATCGCCCCTGTTCCTCCTCAAACTACTTTCCTAAGAAAACAAGGATTATGTGACCACATTGGGYGTTTGCAAATATCCATCCCCCCCTTCCCAGTATTTTCTGAATCATCCACTAATTACAATCTCACTTGAATACCATTTCAGGGAAAAGCAAAAATAAAGAGTTGAACATTGGCAATGGGAGAAACCACCTAAAAGCAAGAAGCTTGGTATGTTCCAACTGGAAAAGCCTTTAATAAAACCAGAAAACAGATGATATTACCCAAGACTCAGACTTTTCATAGAGAGGCCTCCTACTCAGGGGTGTTAGAATGGATTTTAAGAGAGTTATTGCAATGATACTCAAAATTTATGGCACCTTTTACAAGACCACCATGTCTGGTGAAGAATGATGAAGTGACAACATTTACTTGGACGGCTTTCATTTTGCACGGCCTTTTTACTTTGGGAACACCACAGGTTGCCTCCTAAATCTTGCAGGATACAAGGCAGCTTTGTAGACCTTTAAAAACACACAGCAACTTGACCCTGTCTGCTTCACAAATCTGCTTCCTCACTATCTGCCTAGTCAGTCCCCAAGGTCCCCTTGGCCTCGTCTTTTGTCAAGCTCAGCTTTTCAAATGAAATGGTTTGGAAAGCACGCTCTCAAATGCCTACGCTCTTTGAGCCTGGAATTCATTATGTTTAGGAAGTGGCCAAGTTTGCCTCCTCCTCCCTGCCATATTTATACCACAAAGCTCAAGTTTCATCTGTTTTCCTTGGTATAACCCGAGGAATTTCATGCGACTTTGCCCTCTTGAAAACTGATTTATAGACCACGCATGTGAAAAAYCTACTAAAATCCCACACGGAGTTGCATATTTCTGTTAACCACTGAATCGTGGCTCTCTCTTTGGTCTAGTCCAACTCTAGACCAGGATCGGCTGGTCTCCAGTCCAGCACATGAGAGGGGACCATAGGARGGAAAGAGGGTCACTCTTGGAGATGATCTTCCTCAACCACCCCAGCAAGCCCTGGCCTTTCATTTTTTGCTGCTATTCCTCAAAAACACACCTTTCTTTATGTATTTTAAAGAATGCTCTGCACAAAATACTCAGTTTGAGCCCTCTAGTGAGRAGACGCCCCGCATTTGCTCCACGTTTTAAAAACAAAAGAAATCTTATTCCGTACTTAAAACAAACGAGCCCAACAGTAACAGCAGATGGAGATAGAGCTCCTAGCACAACTCATGAATAATTCCAAATCCTATCAGAAGCAGCGCAGCTTTCTGAATTTCCCTAGCAAACAGCATGTCATTGTTAGGTTCCAACTTGACTAAAATGCAAAATGTCACTTTTTCAGAAAAAAAGTGAAACAAGAGACAATATGGAGCATAACAGCTAAACTGCAAAGCATATCACCACTCACAGTCTGAAATTGTGAAAGACAATGTGTGTACACACAGGCACAAAAAAAAATATTAAAATCTGGCTCTTACCTCCATCCCCAGATCCTGAGCCTGCATCTGAAGAGAGAAAAGAAACAAATTTATATGCATGTGCCACAGAAATGTAAAGCAGCATGGGCTGGTTAAATGCATTATGGTGCATCTTATGTTGGATGCTATCTCTGGGTAAATTATAGAGATCTAATCTGACCGCGGTTCACTCAGCCCATCTTTCTGATGCCTGAGTTCTTTTTCTTTAAGCTCCCTGTGCAAGACTAAAATAACCTGGGCCCTGGAGAGCTGTAATGTTCTCATGAGCCTCTGCCTCATTTTGCTGTTCATTTTGGCTGATAAAGCAGCTCCAGGAGCTAACGGTTGTGTAGTTACTTCACTTGGCCATTACTACCCCATCATCATCAAACAGTATTTTTAAATACATTTAGTTGATGACAGACCAATTGGAAATTAATGCCATGATATGCACGAAACGCAGGCCTCTCACCAGAACATAACTAGTTTAAACAAACTGCWGGAATTACTAATTCTCCATTCACTCTGTTTTCTTGGGCGGAACCAAGCAGATACACTAATTCGGAAAGAGCGACTTCATGAAATCACAACGTCAAGAACTTCATCTCAAAGCTTCCTAACCAAGGCAAAGCAAAGAAATGCAGGGACGTAAGGAAACGCAACCCACTAGCCTCTAAGGGAGGTTTCTTTTGGAGGCCACGTGCCTTGTTCTTCCCTTTGGGAAGGCGTTATCCCCTTATTAAGGGTCACAGAAAGAGTTTGGAAAGGCTGATGGGCAATTGATTCAGTCGCCACACAAATACTACATTKAATGTATTGAGAGTAAGGTCTGGCAGATCCGAACTGGTTTGTAAATGCCATCATTGCTCAAAAAATAAGAGCAAAAAACAGCAGACAAAAAAAAATAACTGGATTTCAAACCTTTTCTCTCAAAAAAAGACAGACTGATTCAAAACGTTTGACTAGCTAAGAGCAGGAGTGGATGCTCCACCACTCCGCTGCATTGGTCTTCCAACTGCTCAGGTCTTAAAATAGATGTATACAGTAGGACAACATGAAATGGAGTCAAGAGGGGGCTGGAGAAGAGAACAAAACAGCCTCCTCCTTTTCTGTGTCAGAAATCCACACTGCCTTTCAGAGAGAACCCTCCCAACACGGCCACTGCCAGTAACAAGCAGGCTTAAGAGAAGATGTAGCAATGCACTGAAATCATCCTCTTCATCCTAAAGTTTGAGCRGCTAAAGAATCCCTATGGCGCACCAGGTTTTGTCAGCCTGAGCTCCATTTAACACCAGCTTATAAGAAAGAAAGAAAAGAAAGAGAAAAAAAAAAAAAGARAAAAAAAAAAGGACAAAAATTGCAGCACAGATTTTTCCCCCTCTTGAAAACTGCTAGGCAAAAGCTTCAAAGAAAAACAAATTTCCAGGAAAATAAGTTTCTTTCCTCTTAGGTGCAAGAAATACCAAATTATCGCCCTGCACTAACGTTCTCTAATGCACTTTTTATTGACTCCTCCATCCTCACCTGGAAAAAGAGAACGCTTTCAGCTTAAAGAACTCTCTCAAGAACAAAGACTTGCTCCTTTCCACTCTTTTCAAGCTAACTTGAAACACCCCAGCTGGAACAGATACTGAGCACAGGAGAAAAACATCAAGAATTCCTGCACACCAGCAAGGTGCACAGATTTTGCTCAGTCACTTTTCTAGCTTTTTCTTAACCTTCACCACGCGCAGAGGTGTCTTAGGAAATAATAAGTCGGCTTCAATGTGCTCTTCCTCAAATTCTTCCCCAACAGCCCAGGAACGAGCAGGGATCTGTTCGTTTCGGGCCAGATGCTCGGCTGGAACGAATCCACGTGGCTCGCATGGGCCACGCTGCAGAACCCCAGCCAGGAGTCTGCTCACAGACACGTAACGAAAACCCTCAGAAAACAGAATTAGAGGCGATAATACCCCAATTCCACCCGCTGTAGACGACGGGGAGGTCTGCAGTAATCTGCACGCGGGTTCACCAGACATCTGCTCGCTTAATCTGCGGCCGGCGTCCTGCGGACGCAGCACGTGAGGCTGCTTTGCTGGGCGGCCCGGCGCGTCTCGGGGCCGCCTCGCACGTACCTGTGGCACAGGAGCCTTCGGAGACCAGCAGGATCTCGCTCTGCTGCTTGCAGGCGGCTTGCTTCAGGTAGCACTCGTTCTGGTAGGTGTCCCCGTTGGAGCCGCACACGGGCACGTAGTCACTGTTGCACTGGCGGACAGGGACGAAGCAAGGGCAGCGTTAACGGGMGCTTCCACACAAACCACCCCGTTTTGCGGGGGAGACGGGGCACCCTGCGGGGTGCAGCCGGCATAACGCCATCACGCTCCGARGCCGCGCGATCCTGGCGCGCCCTGCACGTGCGGATCGGGCTGGGGATACGATCATCTCCTGATTACTGTACTCCTGGCATTGGCTAAATGTAACAAACACAGTGATCACAACTATTATTTAGCAACGCTCACCCCTGCTTAAGCCCGAGGCAAAATTAGCCACAACACCTATTTAGCTGCCTTTTGTACCAAGTACCTTAGGTGCATTGAGGAAAGCACAAGATGGAGCGCAGGACTGAAATCCCTGGGTCATAAATACCAAAAAAGCTTTGATAYGAGTGACTACAGGAATGATTAACTCCATTAATTGCGCGCGTCCATGGCGAGCGGCTGCCAAGAAATTATTCATAGTTGGTCAGAGTGACATTTGGATCGGGCCAAATCAAATGACATTTTCCTCATGCGTTATATTTTCTCAAGTCCTACGGGGCTGCTGCCCAGCTCTGGTGGGCTCTAAAATGGGAAGGAAAACCAGTAATAACAGAAATATCATAACCCCTCTCCTTCCTCACCTGTCAAAGAACTCCTCAATTTAGAGAAGTTAAATGGGTGATTAAAAAGGGGTTTTATGCTATGGAGGGTGAAGCAATGTCTGTTTGCACCAAAAAGTCTTTGCAAACAGCAAAGCCTCTTAAAAGAGAAGGTTTCTTTCTTCAAGGAAATGACCTGGGTATCTCCTCTCCCTCCTCCTGGAGACACTAGAAGTTGGACCTCTTACTGCTCCTTGGGAGAGGAGGAACTACTCCCCAAAAYACCAACAGGCATGAAAGCTTAGTCCAGCAATTTAATCCAGAGCTGCAAGGTGGCCAAGGCGCACTTGAGTTTCACGAGCACTACAACAGGTGACAGCTTTAACATAAAAGTCACCAAAAACTCTGTCCCCCAGGGAGCGGGACGGGACCCTGCAAGGTCACGGCTGTATCCGTGGCCCCAAAACACCCCAAATGAAGGCAAAAGGTCAAGGCTTGAGCCAACAACCATTGAACCAAGGCTACAGAGACTTCCACAGGTTTGGGCCCATTCACTGCTGATTACCAGTGGTCGGGCCCACTGGTGCCAAATTCACTCCTCTGGTCACATTGGAATGTTCTTAACTCGAGTTACCCAATTTCTTTGAATCTGTTCCCGATACCCCTTCACAGAACTGCCCACCCTGGCGTGGAGATAACACTGATCTCCCAAAGGAGAGGCAAGGCACCCCGAGGGCTTTATTGGGCTTGGTTTACCCCAAGGCACCAGTCACCCTTGCCTGCAGCTGCCACCGTCCTCCCTGCCACCAAGGCTGGATTTGCTCCTTCCAGGCTCGAACCAACACCAAACCGGCACCAACGACGTGGACCCGATATTCCCTGTTTATGCTCGGGGTTCTCAGCGTTTGGGGCACCGCGTCTGCCCTCGCTCGCCGGCGAGCCGCACGCGTTCCCTCCGCCGCAGCTCCTTCCTCGGGAAGCAAGCCCAGCCCTGTGCCACCAAACCTGCAGTCACGGCAAACGCTCACTGCTGCTCTGCTAAAAACCACGCAGAGCACGGAGGCTTGGTCACCGGCGAACCAGAAAAGGGAATTTAAAAACAGACAAACAAAAAACGAAAACAAAAAACCCACAGCCAATAAGGTGACTCCCTCGACATGGGAGCCATTGCCACTGTGATACCTGTAGCAAACAGTTGTTCTCTTTCTAAAACAGAGGAAAAAAAACGCACTTTGTTGTTATAAAATTAGGAATTTTATCACTTCTTATCATTTAGGTTATTCTCCTAAGGTGCATTCGGCTCCAGAAGCACCAGTGAGACTTGTCCAGCTTCAAAGTGAGCGGCCTATCACAGCCCGGTCAGGAATTAACCATTGCAGATGTGCCCGGTCTCAGCCAGGCCTGCACACCTCCCAGTCAGTGCTTCAGGTCCCACAGCCTCACCGATCCGCATGAAAAACGCAGAAAAACGCAGAAAAGCGGCGGGCAGGAGCGCGCGGGCAGCCCGCGCCGGGACACGCCTGGAACCCTTTCCGTGCGTGGGGTTTTTATTCAGGTCATTCCGCGCAGCGCAGCTGCTCCGGGCTCGGGCGCACGGCCGGGAATCGCTCGCAGTGAAGCCGTGCAAAAACGCCCCAGGTTCACACCAAGCTGCGAGCGGACGAGTAAGGAGGGAAGGAAAAAAAAACCCCACGACCCAGTAACAGCCCATGGAAAGTACATAAGAGCGGAAGGAAGTTTATAGTTTGGAGGATTTCTTTTTAATCTGCTCAGCGGCGCAGATAAGGGCTGCCTCCCGAGCCCGGCCCCTCCGCAGCCTTCCCGGAGACATTGCATAAGCACATTACAGATCCATTTCTTTAACTAGATCACAACTCCGAGCACGGGGAGCCACGATCTGTATCACGAGTGAATTTAGAAAGGGCTTTAAATCCTTGATAAAAGGGCAGGGAAGCAGAAAGYCAACATGCACAGCCTGCAGAGCCAGAGGGCCATTTAAAACCAGAGCATCTGCATTTTCCCAGATAAACTTATGTCTTCTTGACACCAGTTGGTTCTCCTGCCAGCTCTTATCCATGCTGCCAGGTCTCCCCCTCCCACTTTGCATGGAGAGGGATAAACTGCCGAGCCACAGGCTGTAGGGAGAGCGCCCCGATTTGTCTGCTCGTTAGCGAATTAAAGAAGGGAATCTCCATCTTCTTACCTTGAACTGACAGACACAAGTCACACTGTCTCCAATCCTTAAACACTCCCCATCAAATTTACAGGTATTGGTGTCGCAGAGAAAGAGATCGTTTTCTCTGTCATCATAACCTCAAATGCAAAGAGGGGAGAAAAAAAAAACAGCAAAAAAACCACGTCAGCCTTGGTCCAGCAAAGGCAACAATACGGGATGATTGCAGTTTAGCGCACAGCACAATAACCTTGTTGGGGGAATAACASAGCCCGGATTTTCTTTTGTCCTTCCCTGTCCTCAGTTTAACACTTTTTTCCCTGTCCATTTCTTATTTTTATTTTTTTTTTCCTTGCTTCTCCCCGTCTCTTTCCACCAGCCCTCATTCCCCACAGCCTCTCACACTTCCTTCCACCTCACGGGCTCCGTTTCCTCAGAAGCCACGGGGCGATTTCGCTGTTTCATCGCCGCGAGCGGAGCCGGGGGTGCCACTGAGGCGCCGGGGCGCGGGGAGCCGGGCACGGAGCCCACGCGCGATTCCCGCAGGCGGGATGCGGCGGGCGCGGGATGCGGCGGGCGCGGGATGCGCGGTCCCGCCGGCAGGACGGATCGCCGCTAAGTTAGCCGGAGAGCTGCCAGCGCCCGGGCCGGCCGCGGCGCGAACCCAACTCCGCGTTTCCTACGGGAAAACCCACACATCCGACCGCGGAGCCCACTCGTGGGCACGGGCAGGATGCAACTCGCGAGGCGCGGGCAGGAATTCCGGCTTTCCGCCGCTGACACCCTGATCCGACCGCGGGGAATTGCGCGAAACACGAGACCCCGCGCGCCCTAGGAATAAAGCCCGGCGGCKCCCGCGTTACGCACCCCGCGCTCCGCCGCGGCGCGTTTGCAACGGGGAGAAAACGAACCCCCCTCCCTGCGCGGCGGGCAGGAGCGGGACCCCGCGCAGCGCGAACCGCCCCGCTGCCGGCGCTCCCGCGCGCGGGGCAGTTACCGGAGCAGTTCCAGCCCGTGGGCGTCTGGCAGTCGCTCAGGGAGGTAGGGAAGGCGGCGAGGCGCGGCGGGCGCGCGG